CCATTATGTCATTATATTATCAGGTGACTTCTACCCAATGATGTTCTAATGGTTCATCAGCACTTCCAGACGATTGCTCAGCACTCGTTTTTGCGTTAAAAAAAAATTGGTTCTTTTCTGTTAAGCGACCACCTCACGCGAGATTTAGGGAAGCCCTATATTATAAGGGGGTTAGGTTTAGAGTAAGTAGTAGTGGCTATTCACTTAACACTAACACTAACTCTAATCGCCCCCCCCCCACCCTCCATAATATGGTATGATCCTAAATCACGCGTCACGTGGTCGCTAAACAGAAAAGAACTTTAAAATGTTCTGAAAGTATCCAAACACATTGTCGTAAAATGAATTGATATGCTGATTAACTATAACGATGTTAAGGTGCCATTTCTCACAGAAAACCTGAATTTTGCCGACGTGCACGCTATTAATTAATTTTAGCACTTGGAACCGGCCTGTCAACTTTTTTTTATATTTTCATCTGATCACTGGCAGGCCACGTAGGAAGAAGGACGACTGTTGACTTTTTAGGGGAATCAAACAAAAGTGTAAACGAAAAGACATGACATATATAGAAAATGATCAGTGTTGGCATGAACGAATATTGGCGTTTCACTGCATATCTTACTGAACCGGAGCAACTATAGAAAAGTGCTTGAATCTTGCTTGATAGCCCAAAGGTCTTTTCCTATTGAACAAAAATATTCGTTTAAGTTGAGTGTTTCAACTTATTGCATTATGTTTTATCCCATGTGGCCCGTTTCTCTCTGCTGATCAGTCAGTTGTCTTCTGAAATCGTCGCACAGAGCATGAGTTCCTTAGCTCCAGCGACGGTCCCCACAAAAATAATTGACCTAGGTCTTCTTGCACTGCCTAGCTTAAAAAAAAAACTAGGAAATTTCATGGGAAGTAAAGCTGACTGACATAAGGTTGACTCATAACTCATCGAATACCTGTTCGGCTATAAAAATACCCATCTATCTTTATTTGTTTTGCGTAGAAATGGTCCTTTTTTTACGACACTGCACATTTTGTATACATGTGAGTGCTCAAATCTCCACAGAAACAGTTCTTGATTCCCAAGATACTCCTACCACACTCTGTGACATCAGATCTCATCATGAATGTACGAACTCTGTAGCTCCGGGTAGGAACACATTCTTAAAATCAACTCTATTCACACAACAAAACAATCCCTTGAGACACAAAAACGGTTATGCCAGGATGTTTAAAAAACTTGATTGTGTTTTTAGTCTTCGCTTGCACGCTATTATGCTTTTAATATAGCTGTGTAAAGTTGATGTATTTATTAGCTAATATTCGTGGGCGTTGTGATTAGACACTCCAGCCAAGACGCACTAGACTTAATGAGGGTAGAAACTAGCCATTAACATGCGCATATGGAAAATCCCATCTCTTTATTCTCCCGGCACTTTACGCTGTGGTTTTTGCTGTTTACAATTACGTCCTGTTTATAGAGCTTTTAATGCATTGCGGTTACGTAGACTATTTTTTCTTCTTTAGGCAATGAAGTAGCTGTGGCCGAATAAACAAAAATGCTATTCTGGAAATCGCTTTCTTTATTTTTTCTTAGTCTTCTGTCATCATCATCAATTCTCTTTATGCCTAGTGGCACATGAGGCTTCAGAGAGGACTTTCCATGCTCTCCTGTCCTGTGCAATATTCAGTGCAGTTCATGCCAAAGATGCGACATTCAGGTCACTCTCCATCGTTCGTCTCCATGTTGTTTTTTGGGAACCCTTTTTTTTTCTCTTTCCTTCTGGTATCCATGTGAGGGCTGGTATGGCAGGCATATCAGGATTCATTCTCATAACGTGGCCAAACCATTTCCATCTTTTCTTGGTTATCATACTGTCTAGAGTTTCTTGGTTTGTGACTTGAAGTAGTTTAGTGTTTTAGATTGTATCTGGCCAGAAAATTTTGATAAATCTACGTAGGCATGTGTGGTGGAAAGTAGACAGCTTGTCTGCATCCTTTTTTTAGTCATTTTCCAGCATTCCACTCCATAAAGAAGAACTGGCTGTATGATGCTCTTGTAGAGTCGAGGTTTCGTTTCTCTGCAGTAATTGTTGGATTTCCAGATTTGCCTCATCCTTCAAAAAGCGGCTCTTGGTCATCTGTAAGGTCACCATAATTGTGAATGGCTTATTTTTAGTGCTGTTATTATTAAACATGTTGTTACTAATTTTATGTGCGAAAAATAACAGTTGTGCACAGTCTAGTTAGTTTTGTCCACTATTATACGGTAATTCCACTTGAGAATTGTCTTCGTGTTATTCTTTCTGATTAGACATAACTGTATTTATTTATTTAGACGTACGTAATGGTTTAGATCGTTTTTCTAACACTTTCCTGCGTAATCAGTCCGGATACTCGTGACAATTTCTATCCATTCATCCGCTGTTCACCAGAGTTTCTGTTGTGTTTTCTGTTTCTATGTCATATTGTGAATACCTATATCCAGGGCTGTTAAACTAAATCAATTTAAGTTTACTCAGGGGCCGACATTGTGAAATTAGGGATCATTATGGGCCAGCAGTCCGAGTCCCAGCGTAGGAAGACAATTATTTCATTACAACCAGCAGTGATCCGCGGGCCACTCGCTAGGCCTCAGGGGGCCAAATTTGGTCTGCGGGCTGACTGATGGATAACCATGAGCTTACTGCTATAGGTTTTCTGGACTAGTACTCAGGGGACTCATGCATCCGTCCATACATCCACAAAACCATATGTTCATTCGCATATATACCAGTCTATCCATCCTTCAAACATCCACTCAACCACACATGCCAGATGGTTTTGACGGGACCGTCTCCGTCTGATGGAGACGGTGTTGGTTTTGAATTCAGCAGTGTTTCTAATAACGCTTTTGTGTGTGGGTATTCTAGGGCAACCAACGAGTTTTAGTCTCTTAGAGCTAAAAAATATATTTTTAGGCGAGAAGCTGTTATAGTAATAAGAGGAAAATAAGAGTTCATAGGGAGTCACCGTGGCCGAGCGGCTAGACGCACGTCGAGGGGACATTTTTCAAAAATGACATTGGCTCCAAGGTCGACCCAGCCTTGAGTGGGAACCGGGTGCAGTCCCGGGAAAGTAAAGGGGCCAGCGTGATGCTGAAACATCACCCATCTTGTGCCGATTGGTCTATAAAAATATAGGTCTAGCCCTATATGCCCTATACGCCTGATGGCTTGGAAAAGGGTCCTTTACTTACTACTTACTAAGAGTTAACATAACCGAAAAAAGGGATAGGAAAAGTAAAGACAAGTGTACCAAATACAGTATAACCAATAAACGTATAGTGAGCCTCTTATGTAGTGTAAGCGTTAGTGTAACTCTAAGGTATAATGTTTATGTATGACAGTATGAATTATATTTATGCGATCGTAAGAGGCAGCCGCCATAGTACAGGGGATCCGAAAGTGGTGGGTTTGGGTCCTGAAGAAGTCAGCCATTTAAAAATCATAACCTTAGCTCCAAGCAAGGACTACCCAGCCTTTAACTGGTACCATGTAACATAGTGGCATGTAAAACCGGCCGGCGTGACATTGGCTACATCACCCGCGTATGCTTATTGGTATATTAAATATAGGTCTATCATTATATACCTGAAGGCATTAAAAGGGGTTCTTTACTTTAATTCCCCGTAAGAAGCAGAAAAATATCTCTTCGAGTTTTTGTGTGTTTTGGGTCAAGGCCAACATCGTCATTATGATGTTTCGCAGACTTTTGCAGTATCATGAGGCTATCCCCAAAGTAGGCAAGTATTACAACAATGGAAATCAGGGACTGAATACGAGAATGCCAGATGTGTAGTGTAACCTTGCATCCCGTTTTCACTGCAAGTGCTGATGATAATTTTCAATGAAGCAAGTTTTTCCCCAGTGCAAATAAAAAGAATATTGTTTCGTGTTTTCTTCTTGACACCAATGAATTGGTTAATATCATTACCGAGCGAGTACTTAACCCTTTCACCCCGAAGGCGTAGAAACAAGAAGAATAAAAAGGGTTAGGGAGTATGGGAGAGTTGGTATGTAAACTAATTTGCTGGTAAAGTCCCGTTTTCAGCTCAAAATATAAGTAGACTGTCCCGTTTTCAGCTCAAGATAGGGTTAATCTTCTTCTAAGTACAGAGTAATCGATTATGATAACATCTAGTATAAATCAAATACCTAAATAGGCAGCAATACTGTGGCAATTTCCATTTTATGATTAGATCTAAAGCCTCATTAAATGTCACTAGAGCATCACGCATATTGTGCTAGACGTACATTTTTTTTAAAACAATCGGCACTTGACATACCGGCTAATTTGCTTCCCATGAAACTTCATAATACTCATTCTAAGTTGGGTCAGCAGTCGGTTGTCAAATTCTGCGTGTCATATTGTGCTTCCTTTGAAATTCGGATTTCGCAATTTTGTTGTTTCTACTGATATTAAATTAAAAACGTACAAAGGGCATACATAAAATGTGACCACAACAAAGCTATTATTTACAATGTCGTAACTGTAACAATGTTTATGCATATAAAAGGGACACTCGTATGAAAGAAGTAATATCACCTATAATATCAGGCATATAAAATAATCTCTACACAGCATGCTTGGATGTTACTCTATAGATGAGATCACTAGCAAATATTAAACATAACATAAAATCTACACGTTGCTCAACGGTTTCATTTGTCATATACACATGCATTTAAATTATTTGTATTTTCTACAATCAGCCTTTACAGATAGCTGATTATATTACAGCAAGCTTTCAAATGCAAAATAGTATATTTCAAAAAGCTCTCAAATAAAACATTATATTATAACAAGCATTAAAATGTTAGTTCTTATATTACACTAATATTTGTAATAAAATCATTGTGTTACAAAAAGCTTTTAAAGATAACTTATTATATTACAATCAGCTTTTAAGTATAACTTATTGTAATATAACTGGCTTTCATATCAAGACTATTGTTTATTGGTTTTCAAATTTTGTACTCTGAGTGCTTGGAACCGTTAACTGACCCGTTACCAAGAGCAACAACTGTCTGACCTTGGCTGTTATACCTGACAATAGTGTCCGTTGGAGGTCGCAGACTGTCCCTATGAGAAGCGACAGGACCGTACTGTTCCACGTAACTTTCTGACCGCATTCGAGTATTAATTCCATGACACCGGAATAGCAGTATTTCTTTGAACGGTGTCCGAAACTCTCGGTTGAACCGTGCGTATATCACAGGATTAAGGAAAGAATTCGCATAGCCCAGCCAATTGAGCGTACTGTCCAGCGCGCTGGGAGCACTGCAACAGAATGTTTTTACCAGAACTAGGATAAAGAAAGGTAGCCAACAGAGTGTGAAACATCCCATTATTATTCCCAATGTCTTTGTTGCCTTTCGCTCTCTTGTATTGGTCAGTCTTTGATGTCTCGGGAGTAGGGATCGAATAGTAAAGCGTCTTCTGTTTTTGTCAAGCTCCATTTTCTTTTGAAGAGTCTCAAAAGAGGCGTCGTCTTCGCCATTAAAGTTACCATCACGAATTAATCCGTTAGGCATAATGTTACCATCACCATAATCTGTGGAGCAACGACCAAGCTGAAACTCTGCACCTTTGTCAAAACTGCCAATTTTTGTTTTGGCTTCAGATTTGGCGATTTTTGAGGACACACGCCAGATTTTGAAGTATATGAAAACCATAACAAGCAGCGGAAGATAGAAGGCACAGAGTGTTGCATAGATCTGGTATCCTATGTCGCTGCTGATCATGCAGATGAAAGGCATGTGCGCGCTCTTCCATCCGAAGACAGGTGGGATAGAGACCACTGCAGACACGCCCCAGACGATGAGTACCATGATGCCCATGCGTTTAGGTGTGCGCTTCATGGCATACTGAAAAGGTCGAGTTATAGCGAAGTATCGGTCAATGCTGATGGCACACAAGTTCAGTATAGAAGACGTGCACAGCAACACATCAGTGGTCGTAAACATATCACAGACAATTGGACCCAGAATCCAAGATCCGTTCAGTTCATAAACCGCCGCAAAAGGCATAACAAAGACGCCGACAAACAGATCTGCAACAGCCAGAGACACTATCAACAAATTTGAGGGCGACTGCAGTCGTTTTACTATAGCGACCGAAAGACAAACCAGAGAGTTGCCGATGATCGTGCAGAAAATCATAACACCCAAGACAACAGCGATCACAATCTGCTGCCATTCCTCGTACGGTATCGGTGGTTGGACTGGATCGTTTGATTCAGCAGTAGTTGTGATGTTTGAGATGTTGGTAATCGAGTTTGTGATACCAGTTTGATTTTCTAACATGCTTCTGTTGGCAGATAAAGCCGTGCTGTCAGTCGTCATGATGGCGTTGTAAATGGATGGTAGAGTGGCCACTGCTGAATTAAACATGGTGGTCATCTTGAAAGATGGACTGGTCAGGCTGTATTTGTGAAGTCCACGCAGATGGGTGCTCAGTCTCGCACATATGATTTTCAGTATTATACTTTTTTAAATCTTTCAACAAGAAAGCAATATTTCTCAATAAACACTTTAGATGTCTTTAAGTAAACAAACGTTTCACCGAATGCGAAACAAGGACACGTGCATTTCAGGAAAAACAAAACGGCTGAACGAAAGTTGCACGAAACCCATTTTTAATGGAATAGAATTGTCGTTTTTTTTTTACTATTCTATTCTTATGACATCTAAATTTGGCTTTTGATTGCCAGAATTGATGGTCGCTTGAAATGTTCCCAGGGTAAATGTGCGCTCAGCAATTTAGTCATGTTCTCTTAGCACTGGAAACTCTCGTAGGTTTCGTTATTCGCCACAGAGTTTTAACTCGTTACTTTTCTTTTTAAAGAGAAACGTAAAAACACAAAAGTCTCCAAAAATGAATGTTTCACCGAGGAAGAAATCCTTCACACACTATGCAGTGTGTGTTTCAGTGAGTCACTGTTTGCAGTTTGCAGTCTACCTTCCGGAAAAGGTGTGTTAAATATTTAGTTTCAAATGAAAACCGAGGAGAAACGTTTTGCCATGTTTGAAAACAGTCTTAAAAGAAGTCTATTGTGAAGTGACACAAATAATTTCTAAACGAATGTGGTAGCCTTAGTTTATTGGAGTTCAAAATAGCTGTTCACGTTACATTTTCGTGAGAATAGAGTTACATTTTCAGAGGAGAAAATTTCACCTTTCACTTGTATCAGGCAATCACTTCTCACCTTTGTGACAATCCCATGTCAGGCACCGCTGTTTATACCTCCTTCTCCTTTTTTCTTTTTTTCCTCGCAAGTAATGAAATACGCTGCGCGTGCCAGCAGGAAAGATAAATAGCAGTCTATCTGTTAAAAAATGTAACTCATGCTACAACTATGGGGAAAAAAAGCACGGTTTCACATTCCATGTTTTTAAAACTTCTGGCAAGGAATAGGTGCAGAGGAATATGTTTTGAACTATTAGTGGTACAGCTTCGTAGACACTGGGTCTCGTGTTTGTTGTAGAATATTTCAGGGTTGACATGAACTTAAACCTTCGTCAGTGAATCTTGGTGGTCGTCTACAAGACTACGTTGTAGCGATCAATAATACATCGCATATATGCTCGTCTTGCAAAGACAAGAAAAGAAGTGACAAAAGTAACGCATACAAAAATCCCAGCTGGGAGTTCCAACAGAATAGGCCGGATTATATTAGCTGAAGGAAATAACTTTCATGACATCATATTTGTGAAAACGTGCTGTGTCGAAGATTATCAGGGGATTCCGTGTTGTGTCTATCGTTGCTAAATCAAGAAGTTATACAACAAACGAGGGCACTTAAGCGACTGTAATAATCATGGAGCATATAGCTGAAGCTTTCCTTGATCTCAGTGACCTGGATGTCATGTAATCTTGGCGAGACAGGTGATGCTACTGTTAAAACGACACATAAACTCCCGATGGGTGCCTCTTGTATTCACATACGCAGGCTTATTTTTATAGCACTGCTGGTGTCTCGGTAGTCTTGATGTGAAAGCAGAATTCATTGCATGTATTGGCAACTGGTTGAGCTTAGCACGTCAGTCATTTAATCTAACAGGCTGTGAGATGTACAGCTTGATTGATTTGCTTTGTGTAGTATCTGATACAGGTGGCTCCCTGATTGCGGAGTAATTCTGTTGCTTTGTATATGTGACACAGGAGCTGGTTACCTGATTAAATGCCGTGTAGTTGTTGCCTTTATGATGTCTGGTACCGATAGCTAACTGATAGCCGGGTCGAGTTCTGTTGCCTCGTGTGACGACTGGTATATACGCCGAGACCTGTGTTATTGGCACGATCACTTGAATGTGTTGATTATGATAATATTCATTTAAGTACTCACTAACTACCTTGATGAATCCGTATTGCACAGATGAATAACATAAAGTTTAAATTAAAAATAAGGTAGGAGATCGCTTAGACAGGCAGCTGTTCGTTGGATGACGAGTCTTGTGTCACGGCAAATTATAGTTGCCTTATGATCATCACTAGTGTTAACCCGTCCGAGAGACTCATTAGTTATTCATCTGCAGCGAGTTTGAACTGAAAGAAAAAAAAAAGAAAAATGTGTAAGAATTTTTGTTCTTACCAAATAAATACTAGATTTACTAATAATAATAATGAATTATATGAAATGGAAATATGCGAAAAAAAAAGGATTAATAACAATACACACACACACACATACACACACATATATATATATTTTCTTCTTCTTCTTCTTCTGCTTCTTTTTCTTCTTCTTCTTCTTCTTCTTCTTCTTCTTCTTCTTCTTCTTCTTCTTCTTCTTCTTCTTCTTCTTCTTCTTCTTCTTCTTCTTCTTCTTCTTCTTCTTCTTCTTCTTCTTCTTCTTCTTCTTCTTCTTCTTCTTCTTCTTCTTCTTCTTCTTCTTCTTCTTCTTTCTTCTTCTTCTTTCTTCTTCTTCTTCTTCTTCTTCTTCTTCTTCTTCTTCTTCTTCTCTTCTTCTTCTTCTTCTTCTTCTTCTTCTTCTTCTTCTTCTTCTTCTTCTTCTTCTTCTTCTTCTTCTTCTTCTTCTTCTTCGTTTTCTTTTTCTTCACCTTTTTCTGCACCTTCCTTTTCTTCTTGCTCTTCTTATTCTTCATCTTTTCATTATGATTATCCTCATCATCATCATCATCATCATCATCTTCTTCTTCTTCTTTTTCTTACTCTTTTTCATCTTCTTTTTCTTCTTCTTTTTTCTTCATCAAGAAAAAGAAGAAGAAAGAAAGTACAGAACAGAAGAAGAAGAAGGAGAAGAAGAAGAAAAAGAAGAAGAAAAAGAAGAAGAAGGAAGAGGAGAAGGAGGAGTTTCCCTGTCAATCAAAATTGTCAAATGTACAAAATCAATAAAAATAATATCTACAACACTGTCGTATTCAACTCATCATTTACAGGGCATCTCTCTGCTAGGATATGTTGATGATTTACAGAATAATTACCACACGTCATGTTTTGTCGAATTCAGTTATTTTCAAATCTTTTATTACCAATTAATACATCTTTATATGGATTTCATAAATTTATATACTTTAGCAGTAAATAGTTATTTCTTCTAGTCTTTACTATGTTGTTTTTGGCCGCGTAAATTTACTATATTTAACACTTAAAAAGCGTTCACAGTTATTACATCTAAAACCTCTTCCCCTTACTGAATTAAAGAGGCCACTTTAGCGCAGCGACTCGGTGTTCGCCTGCCGACCTCGAGGGTGTTGGATTCCAGTCCGCATCAAGGTATATATTTTTTTGTTGCCAAATTGACTTTAGCTCCCAGGTTGACCCAACCTAAAATAGTTACCAGAGAATGTCATGGGAAATGAAGGCGACAGGCATGATGCTGATCGCATCACACATTGCGTGCAGATTGATCTACAAATTATGAGTCCGTCATCACCTGCCGGACGTCACTGTCGAAAGAAAGCTAATTGGTTTACTTTTACTAAGATATTGAATTGTTTGTCTGGGATTCTAAAGTGCTTTATAAATTTATAGTTAGCATATATAATTTTTTTCTAAGGCTTTAAGAGTTCCCCCTTTCTTTCTTTATGCTAAATTTCCAGATAGATTCTCATTCAATGGTGTTTTCACGGTTCCTAATTCAATATGAGATGGTGAGTTTAATTGAATACTGTATTCTGTTATTATACATAATGTGACTATTTTGTCATTGCAGGATGTGTTCGGTCGAAATCCTGCATGTTCTTCCCTCGGCTCAACAGCACCACGAATTGGCCATAGGTCCCCTATAGGATTTTCAATGCGGCATGTCTTCTTTTTGGGAGTCGCCGTGGCAGAGCGGCTAGACGCGCGCCGCGGATCGGAAGGTCGTGGGTTCGCTCCCTGGCGGAGCCGGACTTTTCTTCAAAAATGATCTTGGCTTCCAGGTCGACCCAACCTTGAGTGGGTACCGGGTGCAATCCCAGGAAGTACAGGCGGCCGGCGTGATGCTGACCACATCAACCATCTTGTGCTGTTGGTCTATAAAAAATATAGGTCTAGCCCTATATGCCCTATACGCCTAAAGGCGTGGAAAGGGTCCTTTACTTTACTTTTTTTTACTTATGTCTTCTTTTTGGCCGTGTCAGCGAATATCATCCTCTTCAATCTGCTGGTATTTTTCCAGTCTCCAAGACTTGACTAATTAATTTGTGCAGTATTTCCGCATATACGAGGAAACTGGCCTTAATAATTTATGCTAGGATTTTAGCTTTCTCATGACCATATTAATAGAGTATAATGAAGTAAAATTTAGGTCGAAGTCGAAAGAATCGCCTTCACTGCTTCGCTTTTTATCCCATATGGTTCGGTACCTCTCCACAGAACGACTAGGCGCTTGTCGTAAGCGTGAACTCCGTAGCTCCGGCGACGATACACAAAGATTTCACTAAAAATTGCATTTGTGAACTGAACGACGTAGCTCTTAAACGAGTCTACTATCTTTAGAGCGCCAGGCAAACGGCTGGATCTCTTCGCTACAGAGACTTCTGTGGTTTACAGAGGTATCCATGTATTTACTGATCAGATACATCTCAATAAATCAATCAGTCATGTGCCATCTCCACAATAAAGGTAGGTTGCAATGGATCTCCAACACTTTTTTACTTCTTGTATTGGTTGAACACTATCTCAGACTGCTGTTTGCCAAAATCTTGATGGTGTTCTTCCACTTGTGTCGTTGGCAACCTCTTTGCTTTCTTGCCCTCCACCTTTCCAGAGATTCAATGCGATTTTACAGTTGCCTTTTCATAGCCCAAGTTTAGGCACAATACAGCAGGGTTGAGTATGCGTAACATTTGACGATTTTCATTTTTAATGTAGTTTATTTCTCTAGCTGTCAGTTATTTTCGCATCTTATTGAAGATAATATTGAATACGAAATCACGAAATCAGACGAATG